AGCCCGAAGCCTCCACAAAGTCCGAGGCCTCGACGAAGCTACTCAAGTTTGAAGCCACGGAATGGGGCATGTGCAAGCTTGAAATGTACACGAAGAAGAGTTACATTCGACACAAGGATTCGGACCAGAAGTGGAGATCGGTTGTGAGTTCTTGCCATCCTGGTTGTCATCGTGAGATCATGCAGCAGATGGTGGAGCACGTGAAAGAGGGCAAAGCATCGGGCGAGCTCTTCGAGATTCGAGACAAGATCATGGAAAGCCTCACCTCCAGCTGATCGAAAAGTTCTGACACATCAGCGGGCTCTTAAATTTTGAGTGGTTTGTCAGTCGCCGATCTGGCAGAAAGCACACTATAGGGGTAGAGATGAAGTAGGGGTAGAGCTGTCTGCACCGACCGAAGAGGTCTTGACAGACGAAAACAGATGTGTCGATTTACCTGTGGGGGATTGTTTTTACTTGTGCCCGTGAAAACTTGTGCCCATGAAAAGAGATGTGACGATTTACCTGTGGGACACTTTTGTGGCCATGAACAAGAGATGTGACGATTTACCTGTGGAACTTTGTTTTTACTTTTGTTGCCATGAACAACAGATGTGTCACGCTTTACTTGGGTTTAGGGTTTAGGGTTTAGGGTTTAGGGTTTAGGGTTTAGGGTTTAGGGTTTATAGGGTTTAGGGTATATGGAGGTGAGCGAGGAGGAGTGGAGTTTGTTTTTACTTGCGACATTATACCTGGACGAGTTGATGAGAAGTTGTGGCGAGCTGATGACATATGTTCTGGTGAGTTTTTGGCCGAGCGAAAGTATGTCAGAGGAGCATGCAGCTTGTAGTTACAGCAGAGACGTGTGAGAGTTCGGGTTATACATGTGCAGAGGCTTCGAACCTACTTGTCGTTTGCCGATGTCCATCGCTGCTCTGTTTTGAAGATTGTTTAGGCTTTCTCTGAGCGAGCCTGAGCCATGAGAGTCTATGTGAAGAATGTCGCATTCGACTCCCCTAAGTGGGTGCTTGGGCATTCATATAGTTTTACTTTTCCTGCGAGCTATAATTTACAAAAGCGCCCCCAAACAAGCTGAAGCCCACAAACACAAATCTGAGGCAATCAGGAAAGTCCTCGAAAAATGGGGAATCGTGACGTGTTCGGAGATACAAGTGGTCCGTACCAACTACTGGGAGATGGGGATGGAGAAGCCGATGCATTGCTCATTGTTTCTCACTTTCGAATCTTGGCTGCAAGCTTTTTACACAGAGGGAAGTGTAAACTGTGTAAACCCTACACCCTAAACCCCTAAACCCTATATAAGCCCTAAGCCCTAAACCCTCTGAACCCTAAACCCTCAAGGTTTTTGAGGTCTCAGGGTTAGGATGTATAGGGTTTGGGGTTTAGGGTTTAAGGTCTATAATCTATATGTATGTATATATATATATATATGTATAGAGGTATAAAAGGTTTAGGGTTAGGTTTTTCTGTTGTTACTTTATTGTTATATATCGGGGGTTTTAAGCTTACCTGTGGCGACAACCACAAGGGCACTCGAGAAGAAGCAGAGCAGATGATCAGCACCTTCCATGGCCAGTGGGTGGACGAGCTTCTTGTGCTTAAACCCTAGAAGCCCCTAAACCCTAAACCCTAAACCCTAAACCCTAAACCCTAAACCCTAAACCCTAAACCCTAAACCCTAAACCCTAAACCCTAAACCCTAAATGTAGACCCCTGTAAAAACTCTATACATGTTCTTACATCAGCTGTGCCTAGGTTGTGCATCCACAAGTGCCTTCATGCCGAGTTGGCACGGCCTCCGAGCTCGGCTCCTCATTTGGCCACTGCTTTGCCTGCAGCGGCAGCGAAGGCGACTCAAGCCCCTCCATGGCACTCTCCGGCCCCGTTGCCAGGCCCCCCGCCCTATCCTTGGTTCCCTCCCTTGCCACCAGGGCACCCGGTGGTTGCAGAGCCTCCCTTGCCACCAGGGCACCCGGCATTCCAACCAATGGAGCCTCCCATGCCTCCCATGCCTCCCATGCCCGTGCCTCACATGCCCGCTTTTCCAGAGCAGCCAGCTGCAGTGCCGAAAAGGCAAGCAGAGCCTGTGCTGGAGGAGGAGCAGACAGCCTTGTGTGTATCTTTGTCTCATGTTGCATGTGTTGTTTTTGTGTTGCGAAGAGAAAAGAGAAAGGCTTCAAGAGTTTGTGCTTTCGACGAAGAAGAGAGTTTACTTTCGGCTTTTGTTTTTGGATAAATACGGGGTGGACCTTTTTACATGTGCTCTATATAAAGATCCCTACCTGCTTGTGGATGAAGGCGACATGGAGGGCGAGGAGGTCGACGATCAGCTCCTTGCAGAGCAGCTGGGCCAGGCTATGGCGACGGCGAACCCTCTCCCGGAGCCTCTCCCTGAGGCAGAGGGCGAGAAGGAGGAGGGCGAGAAGGAGGAGGGCAATGAGGAGGAGGACGAGGAGGAGGAGGACGACAACAAGGAGGAGGAAGAGCAGGAGGTGAGAGCAAGTCGCGAGAGGAAGAAGAAGAAGTCGAGAAGGTCACCCTCGCGATCTCGATCCAGATCCCGGCGAAGGAGGAGGCGATCATCGAAGAGGCGATCTTCGAGCTCCTCAAGTCGTGGCATCCTGCTGAGGCTCGGCCGTGATGGCAAGCTCAAAAGAGCCAGATAAGCCTTTTCGTGGTCGTTCGACTAATTAATTTTCGCAGTTTCTCTTACTGCGACGAGCCGAGGCAGATGCCTTGTGTGATAAGAGCCACCGAACACCCGAGGCTGAGAGAGAAAAAGAATCGTCAGACAGGGCAGAGAGGGTTTTTTAATACTAAATCCTTAAACCACACCAAGCAAACCTCAAACCCGGAACCTCTGAAACTCTTAACCCCTGAATGCTGCCCTAAATCCAACAACCTCCTAAACTCCTTTACACTTAACTCCTGATCCACCCAAAACTCAAACCCCGTTTAGGGTTTAGGGTTTAGGGTTTATATAGGGTTTATAGGGTTTAGGATTTATAGGGTTTAGGGTTTAGGGTTTATAGGGTTTAGGGTTTACAGGGTTTAGGGTTTATAGGGTTTAGGGTTTAGGGTTTAGGGTTTAGGGTTTACAGGGTTTAGAGGGTTTAGAGGGTTTATAGGGTTAAACCCTAAACCCTAAACCCAAAACCCTGAGCCCTAAACCCTAAACCCTAAACCCCCTATACCCCCCTAAACCCCCTAAACCCCCTAAACCCCCTAAACCCCCTAAACCCCCTAAACCCTAAACTCTAAACCCTCTAAACCCTATCAACCCTATCAACACTAGGGTTCAGGGTTTAGGGTTTAGGAGGAAACCCCCTATACCCAAAACCCCATAAACCCTCAACACACTGAACCCATTCCAGCTTACATGTGAGGTTACATTTGAATCAAGCATTGTGCACAGTTTACGTGTGAGGTTCATTCTGAACCAAGCAATGCCGGAAAAGTTTAGGGTCTAGGGTTTAAGGTTTAGGGTTTATAGGGTTTATAGGGTTTATAGGGTTTAGGGTTTAGGGTTTAGGGTTTAGGGTTTAGGGTTTAGGAAACCCCAAACCCAAAGCACCAGAAACCCTGAACAGTTTACATGCGAGGTTACATTTGCAGCAAGCATCGTCTACATGTCACTTCCACAGTTTACGTGTGAGAGAACCACGAGCTTTCTTCACATGCTAGTGTATATAGGTGTGTAGTCGTGTTCGGGCACCCCGAACCCTCAACCCCCAAGTGAATCCGAAAGCCCAACCGAACCCTTATAGTTCTATGTAGGCCCGTTGGCTCTCCATTTTTGCAAACCAACCAATGTTTTTGATTGTTTCTGAGATTTTTTGGGTGTTTCTTGGTTGTTTTTTCTTGTTTTTTAAAGAGTTGTTTAAAAATTTTTGGCTTGCTTTTTACAAAATCCCGATGCAGTTTCGACGCTGTTTCGATGCTGTTTCGATGCTGTTTTAAAAACTGCATCGAAACTGCATCGAAATCGATGCAGTTTTAAGGAAAACTGCATCGAAACTGCATCGGTTTTTAAAACAGCATCGAAACGGCATCGAAACGGCATCGAAACTGCATCGGGATTTTGTGAAAAGCAAGCCAAAATTTTTAGAAAATCTCTGGAAAAAACAAGAAACCGGACACAGTGCCTGCAGCGATTTCTGCTTTTCCTGTTGCCGGGCCGAGACCGGAACGACATCATGTCCAGCCAGGCACACCTTTGCAAGCCCTAAACCCAAACCCCCAAGCCCGAAACCATTCAAGTGTAAGTTTTTGAAAACTGTTCGGGTTGTATATTGTTTTGTGCTTTGCAACACAGGCTACCGAAGTTGAGGAGGACGTGGCCCAAGCTCCTGTGGAGGAAGACGACGAGCCCCAGGTGATGAAAAAACCTTCGGCCAAGGTTCCCTCGCAGGCCAAGGCAAAAGCCAAGGCCAAGGCAAAGGCCAAGGCCACGGCCTCGGCCAAGGCCTCGGCCAAGGCGAAAGCCAAAGCCAAGGCCAAGGCAAAGGCCCCGACCAAGATGAAGGCGAAGGCCCAAAAAAAAACGAAGGCAGCCTGTGCAATGGCCAAGGCCTTGGCCAAAGCCAAGGCCAAGGCCAAGGCCAAGGCGAAGGCGGCCAAAGCCAAGGCCAAGGCATTGGCCTTGGCCAAAGCAAAGGCAGAGGAAGAGCAGAATGTCCAGGAAGAACAGGCCGAAGAGGAGCACCCTCGCTCGCACGATGCTTGCATCGACCCGGCTACTCTGCAGGTCGCCTCGACAGAAGATGCTGGCGAGAAGACCAAGAACAGGAGTAAGAACCAAAAGTTTCTCAAGCTTCTCCGTTCCGGTGGCTTGCCGGAATGGCTCGAGGATGAGTGGAACCGGTTGTCAAAGATGAAGGTGGGGCGACTCGAGGCGCAGCGCCAGCTGGTCAACCAAGCCATGGACAAGGATGCATCCTCCGGAAAACTCGTGGTCTCTCTGGAAATCGGTCGCAGTCATGGAAGAAGCTGGGCCTGCTATGAAAAGAAGACGGGGTCAGCAACAGCGACTGCAGCATGCCTCAGCTGCTATGGAAGCAGAATCGGCTTTGGAAAGCTTGCTGATGGAATCTTTCGCCTCAGGAGCTATATCAGGTGCGTTTTGTCATGCAGTGATCAAAGCAGCTGTGCAGGACATTACAGAAGCAAGGGACAATGGTTCCACTTTCCCCCTGATGGAGAAGCTCGCTCATATTGTGCATTCGAAGAATTTCAACCTGGCCTTGGAGGTCGCCCTCAAAAACAAAGCTGAGCTCATGGCCCCGATGGAAGTAAGCATTCCCCTGCAGGGTGCTCCAGACAATCAACCATCGTGCCGGATCATGCTTCCCCATGAGATGTTGCATGGAAAGTACACTAGTTCCTCTGGTTGGCAGAAGTCTATTTTGCCCAACCCCGACCACCTTGCAAGGTTTTGGTCCACCTTTAAGGGCCACCCTTGCATGCAAGGGCACGATGTTCTGAAGCGCCCCGGCTTTGAACAGTGTGCCATCCCCCTCTGTCTTCACGGGGATGAGGTGCCCGTGGTCGGAGTAGGAAAAATTTGGTGCCACAGTGTGTTGCAGTTTAGCTTCAACAGTTTGATGGCGACGGCGGCTGGGAGATCGGCAGAGGATTGTCAAATCCTCATCTGGGGCATCTTTGAGAAGTATGTCTTGCCGGAAACGATGCCAGCCTTTTTTGGACTCTTGAAGTGGAGCTTCGACATTTGCTACTCCGGTCGATGGCCGAGCAGGGATTGGAGGGGGGTCAAGTGCCATGGCTCCTTACCGAAGAGATGCAGATGAGACCCAACACCCTAAACCCTATAGTCACTATATATATATATATATAAGGCCTAGACACCAAAGCTATTTTTTTATCGCAAGAGACGAGGTATGCTATACGGTATAAAACAGCCCCAAACCCTTTTGACACCAAACCATTTTTATCGCAGACGAGGTATGCTCCCGGTACCCCTGAGGCTCGTCGTGCTGGATCCCAGCTCTGTGCCGGGTACTTCGGGGTCCTACTCCAGCTGAATGGGGATTTAGACTATTTCGCGAAGTGGTTGGAAACCCCTCGCTGGTCAAGTCATGCAAAGCCCTGCAGCCTCTGCAGGGCCACTTTTCGTGGCGAGCTCTCTTGGCTTGACAATCGCCCTTCGTCGCCTTGGCAGCAGTCCTGCCTTACCACAGCAAATTGGAGGAGCCATTGGTCGCCAACCAATCCAATCTTCAGGCTGCCTGGAATGAGTGGACTTTCCTGCAGCATGGACCTGCTGCACAATCTTTACCTCGGCTGGCTACAATACTTCTATGGAAGTACCGTCACAATCATCATCGAAGATTGTCTCCCGAACTCGCCTTTGCAGAACCTTGCATATGTTTCCGCTTTCATCAAGGACTACCAGAAGAATCAAAAGAGAAAGTTCAAACAACGATTGCACAAATTGACGATGGTCCAGCCAAAGAAGGGGTATCCGAAAATGCGAGGCCGAGCAGCCGACATGCAGAGCTTGCACGATGCACTCCTTGCCCTTTTCACCGAGGAGATGGACGAGACGAACACACAGCACAGACGAATTCGTTTGTTCCTTGAACTCAACAAGCAGGTGCAAGATTCGTTGGATGAGTTCTCGCCCACTTTTGGGTTCATGGCCGTTCCGGAAGAAGAGGCCTCGGCGATTTTTAGGAAAGGCCTCACCATGGCTCAGCTTCATGTGATGTTGTTCGAGCACTTCAAGAGCGAGGAGAGGAAGATCTTCAATCTGACTCCCAAAACCCATTTTGTCCTGCACAGTCTTTGGTTGTCCCGATATATTCACCCGGCCATGTTGTGGTGCTATAAGGGTGAAGCCACAATGCACCGATTGCAGGTGCTCTGGAAGTCCTGCTTGCCGGGGTGCAAGCATTGGCAAGTAGGGATGAGAGCAGCTCTAAAGGAGCGGTACCTGCTTTGGCTCAAGGGCAAGGTGTGAATCTGCCACCACAACTCGCACGACGAAAATCATCTTGCCTCTCAACAGTAAAGCTTGCATGCATCGTGTTTCCTTGTGAGGTCTCATGTAAAAGGTTACTCTTGAGTAAAGTTTCCTTATGTGCTCTCATGTAAAAGCTTTGCTTTTGAGTAAAGTTTCCTTGTGAGCTCTCATGTAAAAGGTTTAGTTTTGAGTAAAGTTTCCGTGTGAGCTCTCATGTAAAAGCTTTGCTTTTGAGTAAATTTTCCTTGTGAGCTCTCATGTAAAAGGTTTAGTTTTGAGTAAAGTTTCCGTGTGAGCTCTCATGTAAAAGCTTTGCTTTTGAGTAAAGTTTCCTTGTGAGCTCTCATGTAAAAGGTTTACTTTTGAGTAAAGTTTCCGTGTGAGCTCTCATGTACAAGGTTTACTTTTGAGTCAAGTTTCCTTGTGAGCTCTCATGTAGAAAGTAGAAGGACGTCTTGGGTGACGTTTCCTTGTGACCTCCCATGTAAAAGGTTTACTCTTGAGTTTCAGGACTCGCTGTACAGCTTACTTCCGTCGTACAGTGTCTCATGAGCTAGGCCAAGTTTTTTTGGGATTCATTTTTTGTTACATGTTATCAATAGTTGTGTGCTGTTTTTTTTGTGCTCTTGTTGATGTGTTTTTGCACACTTTTATACGTTTTAATGATGTATTTTTGCTTTCATCGGTTTTTTGGGTGATGCAGTTTATGCCGTTTTGATGCTTTTTTCTGGTTTTGGCAAAATTTACAGTTACTCGAAAATTTACTATTTTTCAAGTAAAATTTTCGATTAGTGTAAATTTGCCCAAAATGTAAATTTACTTGATTTGCAGGGTTGGGGAAGGCGACCAAGACCGACGCAGCTCCGAACTTTCCCCGACGCGGGCCTGGAACATGTTCAGGCGCTCGCAGTGCCAGGCGTTCTCGTCGCACCCCTCGGTCCGTTGACGATGCGGACGCTCGGGGTGCAAGGAACGCGGCTCTCTTACCTCTGGAAATGAGGACACGTCAAACAATTGACAACCTAGCTATAGACGAGATGCAGAGGCAGTCTCACCCTCTGAGGCGTTGCGAGCCCCCTGCCAATTTGAACAGTTCAACGCGGCATCCTGAAACGCAAGACATCGAATTGGAGCCTCCACGCTCTCGTGCAAATCGAGGTCCTGCCGAAATCCGGCACGCTTCCAGAAGACTACGGAAGCCATCATGCCGGGAGCGGGTCGAACAGGAACATCCCCAAGAATATGAGGGCTTGCGGGCCCTTCGCGTATCATCTCAATCATGCCTGACATTGCTCTAGACTGCGAATCTGAGCTGTCACATCCGAACAGAGAACGTCTGTGTGGCTATGGTTACCTTCAAGCCAGCTTTTTGGCGCCTTCATGCTAGGGGCCCCTGCAAGAGTGACCGGAGATTAGAAAACTGGCTCTGTTCCCTGCGCCACATGAAAGCCCTTATGGAGCCCCGCTTTACTATTGCCCCGTCCGTCTGGGAGCGCTTGAGGCGCCAGATTGGCCTGGCGCAACTGACCAGAGCAAGTAATTTGGGATCTCGCTTTTTCTTTCAAGAGTTCTATTGGGACTTTATTTGGCTCGCATTTACTAAATATCATTTCATAGATAAGTCATACCCACGATATGACTGTCCCTCGGTCGTTTTGCTTGGGGCAGCGACACCTGATCCCAAAAACGAAACCCCTCACCGTCATAGTTGGAACAGACTTTGTGGCCCTGCTTCCTTCCCAAAACCTACCTGATATGGGAGCCATCCTGCCGTTTGCAGATAGGACCGCATTAGCTGCTTACGGCACTTTCCGTGGAACCTCTGAAGGTCGGCACTCCAGGGTTACTCGGCGGGACTATTGCAAGCTTCTCTGAGGGTGTACTCGGCGGGTTGTCGTAGGCACTCCAGGGCTACTCGACGCGACTCTCTGCGGTTCCGGGGGGCGGGTGGCACTCGAGGATTCTGGGCCAAAACCCTCTCCAGGCTTCTTTGGGGGCGGGACACCAGGCGAGGAGGCGACGACTTAAATCCAACACAAGCACAACCCCACACCGAGGGTAGCCAGAGTCCTATGAAAACCCTCAAACAAGAGCTGAAACCCTGACACCGCTCTCAAAAAGCGAGAAAGCGCCAAAGCAAAACGTTTGGAGGCCCCTATAGAAAGCCCTAAGCTCCCTAATGTTAACCTCACATCTATAAATGGGGTGGCAACTGTAATATTCGCCGGGCCAGAGGGGCTCAGCCGAAGACTACTTTCCATTACGGGAGGTTTTCGGGCCGATGTGTGTAAACAAGTCTATATAGGGGGGTCCGGTGAAAATAATAATGGGGTGACAACAGTAATATTTGGCCGGCCAGGAATCAGAAATTTTACCTGCAGAGAAGACTTTTCGAGCTCCGCGAGCAAGCAGAACCCTTCGAGACGAAGCACAGCAGACCCTGACAGCTACCCCCCCCAGAATCCGCATTATTGGCACCCACTCGTTTTTTTCTACCCCTTCAAACCCCGGGGACCAAAACAAGTTTTTTTTTGGGGGGGGGGGGGTTTATTAAAGCGACGTTAACATTAGTAGCACCAGCGCGCCCCTGAAGCCCATGCCCTAAACCAAAAGACCCAAACCCCCAGACCCAAAGCCCTCAACCCGGAAAGCCCAATAGGCTCCAAAGCTCAGGCTCGCGCGGGACACGCAGTTTAGAAGCTTCGGACTGTACCTGAACACGGAGAGTCCTAGAACATCCAGGCTCCGAGTCCCTAAGCCCTAAACCCTAAACCCCGAACCCAAAAGCCCAAAAGTAAAAAGTCCGCTGTGTTGCCCCACGCACCTTGCGAGCATCCTTGTCATCGCCGCCGTCCTGGCTAGCTCCCAGCCTACGGCACGTGCTTCAGTGCCTGCATCCTAGATTTGCGAATGCCACATGACTTTTTGCACGCGTTCAGCCAGAGTCCTCCAGTCTTTGAGATTACACGCCTGCTTGATTTTTTGGGGGACTTTGCTGCGACGTGGGGACCTATAGCATCGCGAAGGTGTGGAGACAAAAAGGTGGGACCGAAGTGACCTGCGAGTACGATTTGGGAGGGTCCCTGCCGATTCTTACTCGAAATGCAGTACCAGACTCTGTCTGAAAGCTTTTCAACGCGGAAAGTCGCAGTGCCAAGCTCGCTGCCTGCGCTGCGAGGTCGAACTTCCGGCGTCGCCTTTCAAGGAATCGTCCCAACCCCCCCCCCCCCCAATTTCCAAGTACTTTAAAAATCTGAGGGGTCAGGCCAGTCCTCCTGCCAAAGCAGAGATAAAACTCAAGCCTAGTTGCGCTTGCTTTCGTGACAATCCCGAAAAGCAGTCTCTATTTACCGTTACTGACTTTTCACTGGAGAGGTGCGAATTTGATGATTTCACGCAATTGTAAAAAATGAAGTGAATGCACGAAATACGTGAAAGCCTTTAGATTAAGGGCGCAAAGAATCCGAAACAGCATTAAACTACATGCTTTCATGCTATACAGCAAGCCCTGAAGGCCCCGTCCCAAAGCAAAATATCCTGAACGCTAGAAGCCCTGTAACCATGTATCCAAATCCTTTGAAATTTTGTTATTCAGATTTGGAACGACCCCACTATGCAACTCAAACCGTAAACACTTAACCATGACAACTTAAACTCTAAGCCTCTGGAATTCGGGGCATTGCGGAAGTTGTGTCCTGGCAAAAGGCTCCAGTACACACCCCCACACTGTCCTTATGATACCTGTCGGGCTGCATGTTTTTGGGATGCGCTCTCAGTGGTCGTGTGGGGTTTAGGATGGTTTAGGGTGAGTTTCGGGCTTTGGGGTTGTCCTTCGGAATCTTGTCTGGTTGTCGTTGGGTTTGGGTTCTTGCTTGGGGACCCAAGTCCCGGGATTGTATGGTTTGTAGCAGCTAAACCCTAAAACCTTAAAACCCTAAAACCCTAAAACCCTAAAACCCTAAAACCCTAAAAACCCTAAAAACCTTAAAACCCTAAAACCCTAAAACCCTAAAACCCTAAAACCCTAAACCCTAAAACCCTAAAACCCTAAAACCCTAAAACCCTAAAACCCTAAAACCCTAAAACCCTAAAACCCTAAAACCCTAAAACCCTAAAACCCTAAAACACTAAAACCCTAACGCCAGGATCTGGTCAGTGACCAGATCCGGGCCTCCAGCTTGTGTTTTGGGATGCGTTACGCGGCCCTTCAAAACAGTGACCAAAGTTCGGAGAACTCACCACGCAGGTGTTCTAGACTAGGACCCTGAATCCCAAACCCTGTCAACTTATAATCCTTAGAGCACTGAGTCTACAACCCGAAAAGCTTCACCTCTAGAGAAGCCTTTGGAACCCTTCTGGCACCTAATGAAAAACCCAAGACGCTAAACCCAAAACGAATCTAGAGAGCACATACGAAAAAAAACACAGCTTGAACACGAAGCCCGACAAGTGGGAACGCCTTGTCCTTCGCCATGCGTGTCCAGCCCCTGGCGCAACATGACACGGGACCACCCAGCCCTGTTTAACTATGAGGGATATCGTGGTTTATTCATACCGTTGGTATGGCCCACCTAGATATTGATATAATAAAGGCGAGCCACAATTCAGAGCACACAAAGTTGTAGTGAAACGCTCAAAAAAGGTGCGAAAGCCGAAAGCCCCAAGCAAACCCGTTCAACAAAACGCGAACATTTCCCTAAGTATTTGCTTCGGTCATCCCCGCCCTACAGTCAGCTAACAGCGCAGTCAGGGAATTTTGTATACTTCGTCGCAACCTTCTGTCGCAGGACTCTCTGTGGAATAGTTGAGGGTTCCAGGGACACTCCGCGGCGGAGGTCTTGCAGAATTTTCGGGGCCACTCCGGGGATACTCGGTCCCGGGCTTCTGCGGGACTCTCTGCGGGTACTCGGCGGCAGGACTTTTTGCAGGATCGCTGAAGCATGGCATGGCACTCCGCTGATACTCGGCGGGACTTGTGCGGGCGGGCACTCCCGGAA